CATTAGCCATTAGAGAAATGCAGATCAAAACTACAATGAGATAACATCTCACCCCAGCAAGGCTGGCACTAATCCAAAAAACACAAAATAATAAATGCTGGAGAGGTTGTGGAGAGACTGGAACACTTATAGACTGTTGGTGGGAATGTAAAACGGTATAACCACTTTGGAAATCGATTTGGTGCTTTGTTAAAAAGCTAGAAATAGAAGTACCATAGGATCCAGCTATCCCGCTCCTTGGAATATATCCTAGAGAAATAAGAGCCGTCACACGAATAGATACATACACACACCCATGTTCATTGCAGCACTGTTCACAATAGCAAAAAGATGGAAACAACCTAGATGCCCATCAGTGTACCAATGGATAAACAAATTACGGTATATCCACATGATGGAATACTACACAATGATAAAGAACAACGATGAAGCCATGAAACATAACATGGAGGACTCTGGAGGGCATTATGCTGAGTGAATTCAGTCAGTCACAGAAGGACAAATGTTGTAGAAGACCACTATTATAAGAACTCAAGAAACGTTTTAAACACAGAAGGAAACATTCTTTGATGGTTACGAGGGTGGAGAGGGTGGGTGAGGGTAATTTACTAACTAGATAGTAGATAAGAATTATCTTAGGTGAAGGGAAGGACAGCACACACTACAGGGGAAGTCTGCACAACTGGACTAAACCAAAGCTAAGATGTTTCCTGAATACAATCACTTTAAGAGACAGCAGGGGTAGGGGTCTGGGGACCATGCTTTCAGGAGACATCTAGGTCAATTGGCGTAACAAAGCTTTTTAAGAAAACGTTCTGCATCCTACTTTGATGAGTGGTATCTGGGGTCTTAAAAGCTTGCAAGCGGCCGTCTAAGATTCATCAATTGGTCCCAACCACCTGGAGTAAAGGAGAATGAAGAACACCAAAGACACAAGGAAAGTAGTAGCCCAAGAGACAGAAAGGGCCACATAAACCAGAGACTTCATCCGCCTGAGACCAGAAGAACTACATGGTGTCTGGCTACCACCGATGACCACCCTGACAGGGAACACAACAGAGAGTCCCTGAGGGAGCAGGAGAAAGGCGGGGTGCAGAACTCAAATTCTAGTAAGAAGACCAGACTTAATGGTCTGATTGAGACTGGAGGAACGCTGGAAAGCATGACCCCTGGATTCTCTATCAGCCCAGAACTAAAACAATTTCCAAGACCAACTCTTCAGACAGGGACTGGACTGGACTGTGGGACATAGAGTGTTACTCGTGAGGAGTGTGTCTCTTAACTCAAGTAGCTACAAAAGACTAAATGGGCAGCTTCTGTCTGGAGGTGAGATGGGAAGGCAGAGAGGATTAGGAGCTGGTTGAATGGACATGGAGAATCGGGTGGAAAGGAGGAGTGTGCTGTCACAGTATGGGGAGAGCAATTAGGGTCACATAACAATGTATGTATAAATTTTTGTATGGGAGACTAACTTGAAATGTAAACTTCATTTAAACTACAACAATAAAAAAATTTTTAAAAAAAGAGTTAACTACAGGAACCCTTGAACTTTCTAGCTTTCTCTACATAGACAATGGAAAGGAAAAATCCGAACAATTATTTTGAAGAGTGGATCAGTTTCAACTTCCAAGCTGATGTTTAGGCATACATACTTGCTGCTTTACTTGCCATTGAGTCAGCCCAACTCATGGTGACCCCACGGACAACATAAGAAAACCCAGTCCTGCACCACCTTCATGATCATTGGCATATGTGAGTTCATTGTTACAGCCATTGTGTAATGCCTTACCACCTAGGGGGCTTAGCTTCCAGCTGTATATCGGATAATATACTGTTTTGAACCGTACAGTGTTCATTGGCTTATTTTCAGAGATAAATCACCAGGCCCTTCTTCCTAGTCTTAGTCTGGAAGCTCCTATGAAAACTGTCTACCATCATGACAGTATTTGAAATACCAGTGGCATAGTTTCCAGCATGACAGCAGCAGCCAAGCCACCAGAGTATGACAAACTGACAGATGGGTGTTGGCATAAATGCTTAGGGTTTTGAAAGACCTACATTAGAATCTTTTGTCAGTTGCTTAACCACTCTATGCTGTAGTTTTCAAGCCTCTAAAATGGAGATTATCATACTACCACCCTCATAGAGACTTATGAAGATTAAATAAAATAATGACTGTAAAACATTTAGCAAAGAGCCTGGCTCGTTTAATGTTAGGTTTTCTTTCCTACATAAAACATGATTATCTTAAATTTCCATTTTATTTTGCCTTTATAAACATAGCCTGTAAGCATTCTATCTTAGTCATTTAGTGCTGCTGTAACAGAAATACCACAAGTGGATAGCTTCAACAAAGAGAAATCTATTCTCTCATAGTCTAGTAGGTTACAAGTCTAAATTCAGGGAATCAGCTCCAGGGGAAGGCTTTCTCTGTCGGCTCTGGAGGAAGGTACTTGTCATCAGCCTTCCCTTGTTCTGGGAGCATCTCAGGAACCTCAGATCCAAAGGATGGCACTGCTTTCTTGGTGGTATGAGGTCCCCACGTCTCTCTGTTCTCTTCTCTCTTTTATATCTCAAAAGAGAATGGCTTAAGACACTATCTAATCTTGTAGCTCTCATCAATATAATTGCCACTAATCCATCTTATTACATCTTAGTGATAGAATATACAACACATAGGGAAATCACATCAGAATGACAAAATGGTAGACAGTCATACAATATTGGGAATCATGACCTAGCCAAGTTGACAAATATTTTGGGGGGACACAATTCAATCCATGACAAATCCCAAATATCCAGGGGCAGCTGTAACAGTGAACAAACAGCCTGTCTGAGTAAAATGAAGTAACTATGACCTGTGTATTTATTAGCTGGAAGAAGAATTTGGCCAAAAGATTATCTTGAGTTCTTCAAGCAAAATCTTTTTCACTATTTTGTTTCTGGAATGAAATTACTTTAAAACAGGTATTGTTCATTTTCCAGTTATCTTTGAAGCTTTACTTGTCCAATACAAAATTTTAAAAACGTGGACAGTTCTTGGAAGAAGTACAGCCAGAATGCTCCTTAGAAGAGAGGATGACGGAACTTCATCTTCTGTACTTTGGACATGTTATCAGGAAAGACGAGTCCCTGGAGAAGGACGTCATGCTTGGTAAAGTAGAGGGTCAGCGAAAAAGAGGAAGACCCTCAACGAGGTGGATTGACACAGTGACTGCAACAATGGGCTCAAGCATAACAATGATTGTGAGGATGGCGCAGGACTAGGCAGTGTTTCGTTCTGTTTGTACATAGGGTAGCTATGATTTGGAACTGACTGGACAGCATCTAACAACAACAATGTAGTAGAATGTAATCGCTTCCATGATCTGATATATTGCAGTCACCTCCACAATAAGATCTGATACAGTGTAATCACTTCCATGATTAGCTAAGATATAATGCAGTCACCTCCATGATGAGATCTGATATAGTATAATCACCTCTATGATGAGATCTGACATAATGCAATCACCTCCATGATGAGATCTGATATAGTGTG